TTGTTAATGGCACAAATGATTGAAAACATGTCCTTGCTAAAGTCAGCCAACAAGCTGTTTATGACTCAAAAAAGACTCCTTCTGGTTATTTGGCTCCACTGAAGCCATATGGGCCATGTACATCCCAAGTGCAAATGGCAATAAATTGGAGAAAGACCACCCCTTCCAATCTGCTACCCGTAACATTTGGTGCCAGACCCCGTGGCACACCGGCTTCCAAAAGTCTGGCTCTACACCCAAATAAAAGCCTTTTCATTGACACTCAACATTTCTGTGCAGCGATTCAAAGACCTTATTTTCACATCTGACAGAGCTCCCACCTGAATAAATTCATTTTAAGTGCCACTTTTCCATTGGTGGATTATGAAATGTTGGGAGGTCTGCTGCCTCTATTGCCTCAATGGATGCTGCAGCCAGGTACCAAAAGGTAATAAACTACACACTACCCGTAATGCTAGTGGTACACACAATCATCACCACCACACAGCATTGCAGGGTACTCACCCGGTCAGCCGCAGGCCTTTTCATTTTGATCGGTAGGGTGGCACATGCAGTGAAATTATGAGCTCAGCAACAACGACCATCCCATGGTTGCCAAAGGAAGGGTGAAAAAAAAAGGAAACTGATAATTTATAATATAAAGTGGAACTCCAGTAGGAGAATAGCCAGCTGAAAATAAAACCGGTAAGGTAAAAAACACCTCTTCCTGATCCCAACCTCTTCCCCCCCCTTTCCACATTCTTTTGAAAACAAACTCCTCTGCTTCACCCAAAGTTTGCTCATGCCAGGGCTGGAATTTGCACATTAAAATGCTCTGTTATCATGCACAGCTTCCATTGTACTGCATTATAAACTACTGACCGGCCCAAGTTACAAATGCTCCATCAGATGCAACCTCTTCCAGCCGCAAAGTTCAGGTTCAAATTTCTGATTTAGACTTTTGTCTGCTATAGACCAGAATTCCACTGCACTCGAAAATTATATAATGTGCTTGTGTTATACTGCACACAGACTACATACGCTCCAAGTACGTATGTCAGTAAACTGATCAGAAGATCTTGCAAACATTAACAAATGCTGCCACTGCTATTTGGAAAAAAAAAAAAAAGAGCTCCAGCAATTAGTTCTGGGCAGCAGTATTGAAAGTTAGTGCTCTGAAAAATTTAGTCTAATAGAAACAGATTCCCTGGGTAAACCTAGGGATAGAAGTAATCTGGAGAGCTAAACTGGGGTGGGATTACTGGACATATGAGAATATTATCCTTTGTTCCATACCCCATAGGCATCACTGAAGCTGTAGAAAGGACTGAATATAGAGAGTAATTAATCACTTGTGCAAGAGTCAGGGAAGAGCTTAGAGCATAGGTGGTAAGCCAGGAAATGCATGGAAGGAAGGAACTACTGTAATGTTATGTCTGAGCTGCATCCCTGTTGAGTTCAGAGCCGCTGAGGAGGAAGTAAGCCCCACTCGCTCACCACATGTTCCACGTGCACCCAAACCCAGTAATTAGGCAATATAAATGGCTTACAGGCCCTGAGCACAGCCCCTACCACTGCTCTCAGTCTTTCCATCCTGGGAGAGCCTGAAAACAGCAACAGTGCAACACCCTCAGCTGTCTATACTACCTAATCATGCAACTTGGGTGCACACAGAGTGGAAGCAAGTAGGCAGGACTTATTATCCATGGCTGTGGCCTCACATTCACCCAGGAGGCAGTGGAGACATAGCCTAAGAGTACACCTACATGGAATAATGCAGTGTGTTGGAGACCTCAGAACTAGCACTATGACCACAACAGTACACCAAGGCTAGCACTGGTGGTAGCATGCAGGGAAAAGTAAGGGCCACGCTCAGCAAGGGAAACCCGGGCAAAGCTATGTACGCAGTTGAAAGGGAGAGACCTACAATTTAAACTTTACGCCTTCAGGGTCCCAATTCAGCAATGAAAATATAAGCATGTCCACTACTGTCACGTGAAATCAACAGGACTTCCACACGTGCTCAAGTGAACGTGGGCTGCAAACCTGAAAGCAGTGGGAGTTTTGGATGCGAATCATCAGTGCGTCATTGTTGTTTACTTGTACCATGGAAACAGCAGACTTAAAAATAAAGTAAATCGCCTGGAATATGTAGAAGGGACACGTTACTACAGAGCATCCGCTGGCTGAGGGTCAACAAGGAAAACAACTGTCCGAGCCATGCAGGAACCCAGGGCGATGCATCGTGTTAGGAAGCACGTTAAGTAACGTGATGTCAAACATGACTAAGCACATTACTTAAGAAGGACGAGTCATGTTTCAAAGCCACACGAGCTGATCATGCTTTGCCCCAGAGTCTGGAAAAAAAAATGAAGCTTTGTATAAGCCTCTTTCCTCATACTACTGAAGAGGGGTCTCCAAACCCACCGAGCATCTTGCTGGCTGGAAGGAAACATGCTCAGGTTCACTCTGTCCACACAGGGAAATTTCAAGCTGTTAAAATAAATAGGGGCATTTGGCAGAGATGGTTGCAGCCAGAGTTTTTCCGTATATCAATGCTTTCACAGTAATGCAGGGCCAGAAGCACTAGGTGGCAAAAAAGGCCAACAGGTCCTTGCTACTTACCTTCTGGAAAGGACTCACAGGTCTATAAACTTTCAAGTGGCTCCCTCCCTACTGTAGTATTCATTAACAGCCACAGCCTCACGATCACAGTGTAATCCACAGTGTTTCCAGTGAGTATCTGGATGGAAGTCTCAGAATTAGAAAGGAAAGAAAAGAAGAGGTTTTTTTTAAAAAAAACCCAGTAATTTAATAAATAGCTAAACTACAGACTGCATCTCAGCTGCTTAGATTTTTCTGCACTTTTTCCTTTGTGGTAATTGCAGCACAATAAAGAACTAAAATAAACAGCAATCAAAAAATGTGGATAAAATGGCCTGTATTCCAGATGAGAAACATCTGCAGTTAGAACAATGTAAGCTTTCTTTCCTTCCTTCCTCAGCAATTATTTGGACATCACCACACTGTCCCAGGTAAAATGACCCGCTCCCAGTCTCCCCCGTCTCTTCACAAAAAAAGCCGGTATTTGGGGGGTGGGCAGGAGCGAGTCAATGAAGAGTAGTGGCTTAATATGAGAAAAACAAACACATCAGGATTTGTTTCCATGCCTGAAGTTGAGGACACTCATTTGTTTCTGGTTAAAACTTTCCAAGTGGATGCAAAGAAACCAAAAATACTTCAGAATTTTAAAATATACTGCTCCTTTTCTTTTTTCCATGCACTAAAATGGAAAAGTCAATGACGGGGTTAGACCCATGTATTCACTGTTTAGTTGTAGCACCACACCCAACAGCAGAAAGGAAAAAAAGGGAAAAAAAAAAAAAAAAGAGAGTGAGAGAAAGCATGCCATTAATTATAGGACGTTCTGCTGCCATCACAGTAATATACTATTATCTGTTTTCAGTAAAGTCTTAGAAAGAAACTGATATTCAGCTTAACAAAACACATTCAGACAGGGATTCCAAAACAAATCCACATCTACCTAGAAGGAGATGTATATGCACCCTAGCTGGAGCAATTTTAGATG